AAAAACATCCTAGTCATGACAATCCATTCACACCTTATATGGCAACTGGCAGGGATCCAAGCATCTACACACTCACAGCATTGCCTCAGAGCCTCCGCGCTTGCTGCAGGAGCTGGTAGACCCTGTGAAATGTCAGGAATGAGGCAGATGAAGAGAAAATTAAACTCTCCTCTGGCTGGACAGCCTCATTTGATGTCAGCAGCTGAGGGACATCTTGGTGCTGTGCCTTGAATTGTAATGACTAGGAGTGCTCTGGGTGGGCTGTCAGAAGCAGCTCAGACTGGGAGCAAGAACGTGCACATCAGAAGGGAGCCAGGGCTGTGCCCAGTAATGAGGAACTGCGCAGCTGCCCTGATCTCTTTGAGAAACCACCTGCATCAGAGACATAGCAGAACAGTCACCTCGTCCATTCCTCTAAGGACCGTGCCTCTGAGTTTTTCTTATCTTATGGATCTCCCCTGACTGAGAGCTTTAGACAGCAAAGACCTTGACGCTGGTGGAGGTAGACTCCATCAGGGTCACTGGACATCTTTGTTGGACCCCACTTCCTTCAGACCTGGGAGGTTTAGGTGCAGCATACATAAGGGGCTGAGGGAGATTTGCAGAAGGAAAAATATGATTCACTGATTCATTTGGCCATCTGCTTTTTTATTAATTTATTTTTATCTTTAAAAGTTTACTTATGTCTTTCATGAGAGACAGGCAGGCAGTTGAGAGAGAGAGAGAGAGAGAGAGAGAGAGAAGAATCTCCAACAAGGTCTCGTGCCATGATCCTCCTTGCAGCCTGCCTAGCCGGCCAGCATCATAGCTGTGTTCACATGGGCCGACATGCAGAGGGTGACCCAGGAGCTGAACCCTGATTTCCCATGTGGCTTCTAGCATTGCAGAACAGCATGCTACCACTATGCCACCTTGGCTGGGCATGCTTACTTATTTCTATTTATCAAACATTTATTGAGCAGCTACTATGTGTTAGCCCTTACTGTGGATACCAAGACGAGATCTAATCCCTGCTCTGCAGGGAGAAAACAGAGGAGAGAGGCAAGCAGATGCAATCAGGTAACCTCAGAAAGTACTAGGGAAGCCGGAGGTGAGAGGGCTGGGGGCTGGCGAGGTAGGCCAGGGGCGAGGTTAAGGAAGTTCCTCAAGGAGTCACTGTGAGGATGGAGTTTTGAGTGCAGCCCAAGTGCTAATGGTGATTCAAGGCAGCGTGTGATAAGTGTGCCAGACAAGCGTAAGCAAGTAAGTGCAAATAAGTTTCTTTAGGACAACAAAGAAAAAGAAGTGGCTTCTGACTATAAGGTGGGAGGCGCTAGGAAAGCCTTCATGGAGGAGGAGTAAGATTTAGCTGGTGAAGTTATAGCAAAGACGTTGTCACCAGAGAGAACAAGTGAGGAAAACCATGGCAGTGAAAAAGACCAGGGCATGTTTCGTGCACATGCAAGTTTGATGGGGAGATTAGATTCATTGTTAGGGTGGGGGGTGGTTATGATGGGAAAAAGACTGAAAACAGGATGGACTTGTGTTGTGAAGGGTCTTGATGCTGCTTGGAATGACTTGTTCATTAGTAATGGAGGACAGCTGTGGGTTTTTGTTTTGTTTTTAAGACAAAATCTCGCCATGTTGTGATCCTCCCACCTCAGCCTCTTAGCTGAGACCACAGGTGCACACTACTGGCTCTGGCTCCTTTTTAGACAGAGTCTTGCTGTGTGGCCCAGTCTAGCCTTGAGCTCGTAATCCTCCTGCCTCAGCCTCCCTAGTGGCAGGTGCATGCCCACAATGCTTGGCCTTTAGGTTAGAAAGGGAAATGAACCCTGGCCTCTCATGTGGTTCCAGTCTGTAGAGCACAGCATTTTAGCAGTGTGTGCCATGACTGCCAAAGATTTTTTTTTTTTTTTTTTTTTTGGAGAGGTTTCTGCTATAGGGTACTTGCGCTTGCCAGAAACACACAGAGAGAAAAGAGACAGAAAGCAAGAAATCATCCCCCAGGAGGGTTGGCCAGGCCGCAATCCCTTCTCCTCCATTCTCCTCTCGGGATCTTGGGCACGCACGCACACGTGCCCGGCGTGAGTTTAAGCCACTGGGACTGGAACCAAGGTCGACTACATGGGAGTCCAGTGACATAGCCATTACACCAGCTGCTGGTCCCTCAGTTGCAGATTTTTTTTAAACAAAAGAATGACATGATCTTCCTAGAAAGAAAACTGGGTTGAGAAGAGCTGGATAGGAGGAAGAAACTCTGATACCTTATTTACTCTGTGGAAGTGACTTTTTAGTGAGGTACTGCCCTGCTCAGGGCTTCTTTGGTGAGAAGCAGCATAACCCATGCTTGCCCACCCATACCCACTCCATTTCCCTTGACTACAGGTCTCCTCTCACCTGGGAGCCCTGTTGCCATCAGGAGGATGGTGTTCGTTGGTGAAGGGGAGCTTGGTGAGAGAGGGAGGCCGGAAGCAGCTTGCCTCCTGGGTCAGACAAGCTCTTGAGAAAGTGGGAGAGAGAGAGTGACTGACTGACTGAGGTCGAGGTTAGTTAAAAAAGGAATTAATTTGGGACTAGATCATGAACCTCAGTGTTGAGAAAGATACAGGCAGATGGAGCCAAGGGTTTTGCAGGATGACCAGGTGACAGAGCTGTTCTGAATGGCGACAGGTCCTCGGAAGTGTGTTCCTGGCCACCGTTTCCCTACTGCTTGCTCAGGCAATCTGACCTGAGAAAGCGATGGTGTGTTCATGCCTGGAATACGTATGCAACTTTGACTATGGTGTTAAAGGAAAATGTAGAGTTAAATAAGGTCCTTAGATAGCTTCAAAAAGGTTGAAGGGCCTCCCACATGAGGACACATTGAAAAAGTTCAGTTTTTTTTTTTTTTTTTTTGTTTTTTTTTTTTTTGAGAGATTTTTGGTATAGGACACAGGTACTCGCCGGAGAGACAGAGAAAGACAGAGAGATAGAAAGAGAGAAATCACCCCGTGGGAGGGATGGCCACGCTGCAATCCCTTCTCCATTGTCCTCTTAGGATTCTGGGCACATACACACATGTACTTGGTGTGAGTTTTAAACCGCCAGGTCCAGGGGTCCAGTACACATGGCATTACACACATTACACCATTTGCTGGCCCCGGGTTCAGGTTTTTTTCATATGAAAAACATGAAGGCTGAGATGCACGGCAGGATTTAGGGGCCATTTAACCTGAATAATTTGGAGGAATGAGGATTTGTTCACCAAACTCAAGACTTCTAGAGCTAGGATTCAGCAGTGAAGCTGGAAAGAGGCAAGACTGGGCCGGGAGATGAAATATGTGGAATAAACACATAAACAGGTGTGAGCAAAAGCCAGCCCTTCCAAGAAGATAGAGCCACCATGGGTGTGATGGCAAGGAAGTGGTGTCAGGAGCCTGTGCATAATCTTTTGAAGTTGACACCTTGAAGTGCCACCCAGTGGTATCACTCTGGGAGGGCCTAACTCAGACAGAAAGTGTTTTTCTGGTCCCCGCCCTCCGCCTTTACTGAAATCTCCTAAGTGACTAACACCAAGCTTCAGGGGTTTTTCCCTTTCTTGACTTTGATTTATTCTGCCTCAAATGATGAAGCTTTAATGCTAATCAATATCTCCAGAGTGTTAAAAGCAATGAGACATCAAGGCTTTCTGAAATACAGAAGGGCAGGGCTCTACATAGACCATGCAGAGGCAATCTGCCATTACCCAAGGTCACCAGGGCAAGGGACACACACTCTCATAAGCACACACTGTGAATTGTGGACTTGCTGAAAACAGCTCCGGTGTTTCCTCCAATCAGACTTATCTGAGTTGCTATACGCCATCAAAGGGCCCAATTCTTGTTTATTTTTCCCCATTTTCCACTCCACTGGTTGAGTGCCTGAACGGTGTGAAATGGTCAGTATATGGGGGGGGGTGATGGGGAGGAGCAGAGAATTCCATCATGAGTAAGCAAGCCCTAGTGAGGTGTCAGGAGTTGATGGCTCTGTGTGCATTTCAGACTCTAGGGAAGAAAATCCGAGTACTTAGAAGAGAGCAGTGTGGGACCAGCAGGTGGCATGGCAGTTAAAGCACTGGATTCCCACGTGACCAATCATGGTTTGAATCCCAGACCTGGTGGCTTGAAAGTCACAATGGGTACAGTATGTGTGTGCCCAAGATCCTGAGACAGGAATGGAGGAGAAGGGATTGCAGCATGGCCATTTCCCCTAGGGGGTGGTTTCTCACTTTCCTCTCTCTGGCAAGGGCATGTGCCCTAAGGCCAAAATCTAAAAAAAAAAAAAAAAAAAAAAAAAAAAAAAGGGGAGGGGGGGGGGGGGGAAAAAAAAAAAAAAAAAAAAAAAAATGGGTAGAGTGGTGTGGTGTTGCTATGGCTTGAATAAGTGTGTCCCCAGGGTTCATACGCCGGCACTGAAGATTCAATGCAGTGGTATTAAAACGCGGGGCCTTCAGGAGGTAGTATAATGGAATTAGTATCTGTATAAAAGGGCTCCAGAGAACCAGCTTGGCACTCTGGCCTCTCTTCTACCCTGTGAGGCTGTAGCAGCAAAGCGTCACCTCGGAAGCCCTCCTCAGAGTCTGAATCTGCTGGCACCTTCATCTTACACTTCCTAGCATTCAGAACCGTGAGCAATACATTGTTTTTGAGTTATTTTAATTTTTTGACACAGTATCTCACTAGGTTGCCATCCCTCTGCCGCAGCCTCCTGAAACGTTGGGATTTCAGTTATACACCGCTACTCCTGACCTTTAGGTTAGACTGGGACTTGAACCCAGGACTTTCCGGTGGTCCCAGGGTATGGAGTATAGTGTCTTAGCAGCATGTGCCACTGCAGCTAGGCCAAATTTCTGATCTTTTAAAGTTTCCTAGTTCCGGGTATTCTGTTATGGTGGCAGGAGTGAACTAAGACAGATGTGAACTCTGGATTGTGTAGAACAGAGGCCTGTCCTGACCAGTCTGCACCCCCCCCTGTCCCCACTGCCCCGCATGACACTGCAGGTGACTGCTGGCTTCTGGCGGCCATTGCTTCTCTCACATTGAATGAAGAGCTCCTCTACCGAGTAGTCCCCAGGGACCAGAACTTCCAGGAGAACTATGCAGGGATCTTTCATTTTCAGGTATTGTGCCTCACGGTCTTTGTCACTTCCCATGCTGTTAGGTCCCACCTTGGATCTATTAAATCAGAAACTCTGGGCTGGGGCCCGAAACATTTAGTTTAACAATCTCTCCAGATGTTTCTGGTGCACGCTGAAGTTGGAGAACCACTGACTTAATGCATGTGCCCAATTATCCACGTGTCCATCTCCTTCCCTTCTCCCCCAGACCATGTGGCCTTGAGGGCCAGGAGATATGGGTCCAAGTCATCCACTGTTGCCCCCGGGTGATGCTGGTAAGTTGTCTTATCCACAAACTCAGACTGGAGTAGATGTGTCCTATTTCATCTGGCATCTCCCATGTGCATAGAGAAGTGAGACAGACAAGCTCTTAAGGAGCTCGGAGTTCATGAGAGGCCCACGACTTGAACACTGATAGCACAGAGGCCCCGTCTGAGGTCTGCTAAAGAGACTCCCCCTGCCCATGTGCTTATCTGGGAGGTCAGCGGCTGTGTTTTCCCACTCTAGTTCTGGCAGTACGGAGAGTGGGTGGAGGTGGTCATTGACGACAGGCTGCCCACCAGGAACGGGCAACTGCTCTTCCTACACTCCGAAGAAGGCAATGAATTCTGGAGTGCTCTGCTGGAGAAAGCCTACGCCAAGTAAGTGGGGCTGTTAGGAACTGGAAGACTCCTGAGCCTCCCCAAAGGCTTTCACCTGCCCCTTCTACACCTGCCTTCCTACCCCCAGCTCAGGGTGTCATGGTCAAGTATTCCCTAGCATGAACTGGAGAGAAAGCATCTCTCAGGAACTAAGGGAAATACAGATTTGAGTTGAGAGTTAAAAATCGCAGCTCTGTCCCACGTGAATGTGTGGATGATGGGCAAGCTATCTGGATTTTTCCTTTTTCAAACCCCAAGTTCAGTCCTTAGGGCAATGTGAGTTTGGAAAAGAATGGTGAAGAGTAACAATAAAACAAATGTACTTAGCAGATGCAACAACATGTCTACCCTTTCCTCAGGAGTCATCCTCCTTCTCATTGGCATTTGCTGTTCAAGGCCTTCTCTGGGATTATTTTAATTGATTTGGCTTACTGATACCCTTTTCTGTAACCCCAGTTCCTTTCCAATCCTGTTCCCAAAGCGAGCTTCAGCAGATGCTTCTCAGACTTCAGGGAGAGTTTCCCTCATCCCCACCTGTGCTCTTGGCCCCCAGAAACCCAAGCAGCTGAAGCCAGCTCTGGAATGGTTGCTCTTGACTTTGTAAAGGATGAAGCAGCTTGGAGAGAGGGCGTCTGAACTCTGTCTCTAGCAATGTGCTGAGCTGGCCAAGTGGAACCATGGCCTGAACTCCTTCCTAGCTCATAGGCCAAACTGGCAAAGGGCCCTCCTTTACCTCGTAGGCCACAGTTTATCCTAGTACTGTGCCTGTCCCCAATCCTTGTCATCCTCTTGCTGGAGTTGCTAATGACTAGATGGTGCAAGATTTCCTTCTTTTCCAACAGGCTCAATGGTTCTTACGAGGCTCTTGCTGGAGGATCCACAGTGGAGGGGTTTGAAGATTTCACAGGTGGCATCTCTGAGTTTCATGATCTGAAGAAGCCACCAGCCAATCTGTATCAGATCATCCGGAAGGCCCTCCGTGCAGGGTCTCTGCTAGGCTGCTCCATTGATGTGAGCCAGGGGGGCTTCCTTTTTCTCTCTTTTCCCTTGTGTGGGAGGAAAGGGACTGGCAGCAGAGGGAGACCAGAGCAGAGTCTGGGACATAATGGGCAAGTCTGGTAACATATTGGCCCATAGCATATAGGAACTGGATAAGACCTAATTAGTGGGTAGGAACTAGGGTGAGCCATATTGTGGGAGCCCCAGTTTCCCCGACTCTTAGAGTCGCTTTAGCCCGGCTAGAGTGCCCAAAGAACACAGCCTAGATCATGGCTCCTAGGCTCTGCCTTTGCTGCCTGTTTTTTGCTTAACAGTCTTGGGATTTGGGAACACAAATATGATGACTGATAATACTCGATGGACTTTGGGATCCCTGAGGTAAGGAAGAGATTCTGAAACCAGAGATTATGGCTCACCAGGAGAGTTGGCTACATGGAATTTTGAGATAGCTGTAGAGACCAGAGGCTGGAGGCCACAGTCCTGAGGGTCCTGTCACCTGCTTCCTTCTTCTTTGCCCTTACCTGGTGTCTCAGACATGTGAGGGACAGAGCAAGAATATCCTCCTGTTTCCTCTTTGTAAAGACTGCAGCAGGAGTTGTGTGTTTTGGGGGGAGGTGATATGGGGTATGAGAAGGGGTGCTGGTGAGAGAGGAGGGACAATCGTGCCCGCCTGAAGGACCAGGACGTGACCAGAGTCATCATCATGGATAATTAGTCTTCTTTAGGCAGCCTGGGGTCACTCTCAGAGAATAAATGACTTCCCAGTTTCCTGGTGGCATTTTAAAGTCTGGTAAGTCATATTCCAGGCTTGGCAGCCACACAGCGCCTGCCTGGAACTGCAGGCCTAATTAAAGGGCTGAATGGAGATGGCTCTATGAGGGGTCTTCAAAAAGTTCAGAGAAAATGTGTATTATGGAAAAAAAACCCTGCATGGGTTTCAAAGTTTTTTTTTTTCCCCCCACCAAAATGAGCTCAGACTTTAATTCCACCTTCCCATGGACTTTTGGAAGTCCTGTTATATTCATCTGAGACTCATTGCCACATCTGCACCCCCTCCCACCATGGCTGCATCATGTGTCTATAGAAAGTACTGTGAGGTCAGCCTCAAAGAGTCCAGGGTCAGCCGCCCTGAGTGGACTTTCTCCTTGATCCAGGTCTCCAGTGCAGCCGAAGCAGAAGCCATCACCAGGCAGAGGCTGGTTAAGAGCCACGCATACTCAGTCACTGGAGTTGAAGAGGTAAAGTCAACCTAGCAGGAGGGGAAGTGTGTGTGTTTGTGTGTGTGTGTGTGTGTGTGTGTGTGTGTGTGTGTGTGTATGAATATGGTCTTTGGCAACACTACCTGGGGTGCCATCCTGCAATCCTGCATGTATCACTTACTGGCTAGGTCATCTTCGATACCTTAACTTCTCTAAGTCTCAGATTTTTGAGCTGGAAAATGAAGATAATAATAGCACCCAGCTCATAGGCCTGTCATGAGGTTTAAATGAGGCAATAATGCATTTGAAATGCATGCTCAATAAATGTTAACTGCTGTGCTATTGGCATTAGTTGGAGAGCATTTATTATCATTAAGTCCCATATATTAAGAACTGAGTCAATCTTAGTCAACTATAAAATCTAAATCCACGTTAAAGCAGACATAAATTTGTTTTTGTGCTAGACTCACTCTTCATTTATTCAAACAAATTGTGAAAAATAGCATACTTGGACAAAGCTTGAAGACATGTGTTAAAAGAAAGTAAAAGTGTGGTCACGTGGGGAACATTTGAAAATTTGAATGCAAACTCTCTCGGGTGCAGACACAAATGCAAGGCAGCAAGCATGTAGTCATTCAGTTGCTTTTCTGTGTGTGCCCCTGGCAGGTGGATTTCCGTGGCCATCCAGAGAAGCTGATCAGACTCAGGAATCCATGGGGTGAAGTGGAGTGGTCGGGAGCCTGGAGCGATAAGTAGGTTCCTCCCTCCCTTCTGCAGCCCTCCTCTGCAGAAAGGTGTCATGTAAAGCACAATAATGAGACCAACGGCATAGTGAGTTCAGCAGCACTTACTGGCCACTAATCACACAGCCTGTTCAGAAAAGAGTATTAAATGATTCCAGGCTGGGAAGAGCAAAATAAAAACCACTTAGCTGTAGCCTTTGATTTCTGCTTTGGCATTTGAAAGTTTGGCAGCGCCATCGAATTTTGCTTAGCGCTGAAGGGTTTTCCTATTTTCTCCTCTCCACACCATGGTGGTCCAAAGGGCAAATCGATCACTCACAATCTGATTCTTTCCACTCCACAAACCCTGGTTGCTCTGACAAAGGCCAAACTCCTCAATACCAAGAGGCAACGACAACGCTGAGAAATGGAGCTTGATTCTGGGAGCAAAGGGCCCAGCAGGCAGTGATGAGTGGGGGTGCTGCTCACCTCATGGGCTCATGACCGGGGCAGGTATTGATCGTTGACTACAGAGGCTCTTATTGGGTCCTAGGCAGGCCTCTTTGCTGGAAGAGGAAATCAGCTAGAGGTGGTGGTGACATTCTAGGATAGCTGCACCCTGGGTATAGGGGTACCATGTCCCTGTGCTACAGGAAGATGAGAACCATGGAGTGAATTCTGTCAAGTTAACACAGTTGGCATGGGGGGAGGCAGATTGGCACTGGGGAAGGCTTTCTTTCTTCTTTTTTTGAAGAGGTTTTTGCTACAGGGCATGTGCACTCGCCAGAAAGACAGAGAGAGACAGAGAGGCAGGAAGTGAGAAGTCACCCCCCAGGGGCAATGGCCATACAGCAATCCCTTCTCCTCCATTCTCCCCTTGGGATCTTGGGCATGCACACACACACGCCTGGTGTGAGTTTAAGCCACTGGGTCCGGAACTCAAACCCCGATCAACTACATGGGAGTCCAGTGACATACGCTAACTGCTGGTCCTGAGGCTTTCTAATTCTCCAGTGTGATTGATGAAGAATGGTCATAACACACTCCCAACACAGGTCCTTACACCTCGAGTGTCCCCAGTGCTGCATGTGTTGTGATGTCACTGGGCCTTTGAAGGGACCTGTACCACGTTTAGCTGTAGCATTGGTATTGCTTAGTACTTCTCAGAACTGCAGCACCTCCCTTTAGGTTTGTGTCATGAAGAAACACGTGTCCCAAGGCCCACAATAGTCTTCGACATTAAAGATTTTTCATTCCATGCACTGAGAGTGAACAAAACCTAAAACCTTGGTTCTGCCAACTGCCCTAAGAGGATGACATGGCTAAATGAAGTTGAAACCTGAGTTAGTGCCATTTTCAGTAACCAATTACCATGCTGCCAAAAGGGGTGGTTTGATGCTAACTGCTCTCCCTGATGCTGCCCACACTCCAAAAGGCTGGGAGAGGTCTGAGGTGGGAGGTGGTGACTGGTGAGGCCTGAGGACTCCACCCAGCAAGAGATACTGCTTGGGTATTTATATGCTGGCTGCTGGAGAAGGAGGATAACCTTGAGATGACATCCCAAACTCAGGCTAATGTCTAGGTAGATTTTACTTCTAAATATTATTTATTCATAGGAGAGACAGAGACAGGAACAGAAAGAGAAAGGCAAGTACCCGGGCCAGTTCTGTGGCACAGTGCTGATGTGCTGCTCCAGGGAGGCTGGATCCCATATGAGCCCATGTTTCAAATCCCCGGGCAGGGCATTTTGAAACATAATGGGTACATATACAAGTGCCCAAGATTGGATGGACTGGAGAACTGGAGGAAGGGGATCACAGAGTGATCAGACCCTATGGGGGAGATGCTGTACTCGTTCTCTGTCTGTTACTTTCATGTGTATATGTGCACACTCTGTCATCAATAAAGAAAAAGAAAACAACAATCACCTTTATCAGGCTCTCATGCGTGAGTCCCTCCCCAGGCTTCTCATCCAGCCAGGGTTGGGGGACATGCATTGGTGTATGCAGGTGGATCTGGAACCAAACCTGAACTCTTCCGTATGGATCCAGTATCATTTAGAGCAGTATTACCTATGTGTGTGTGGGGTATTGTTCTCTCCCTCTGTCTCTCACTTTCACGTGCACGTGCACACACTCTGTCTTCAATAACAACCACTGAGCCAGTCCCATTTTACCTTATTATTTATTTATTTTTTAAAGTTTAGATTGGGAGGGCGGATTAGACCCATAATTCTCCAATATGGGTCCTAATCTTTGTTTATAAGCACATTTTAAGATTCAGTTCTGATCAAGATAATGTTTCAATGAATTAAAAAGGCCCTAAGGACTCTTCTGGTGCCTGAGGCTCTCAGAGGCCAGCTTTGAGGAAGAGGCTGGGCTTTGGGAATACTCCAGCTTTTATTTCAGATTGGGGAGGTGTTTAGTTTTGCTGAAAGTATTTAGGGAAGGGAATTTTCTTTTTAAAAGATAGATCTTGATACCGCTCCGTTATCTAGACATTGCATTCACATTTCAGGAAACCCACCTTTGTAAAGGTCAGCGGGCTGGAGATGGCATTTGAACAAAGTATGTGGATATTGCCACAGAAAGACCACCTGCAGGAAGCCTCCTGTGGTGACATTACTTTAGGGCAACTGCTATAAAACTGGGCCTCTTGTTCATTTTGGCAGGCTCAGGAAGGGGACCATGTTGGTGGACCTGGGAGTGCCCAGACCCTCTCATCATATATCACCTGACTGCCAGATGAGCCAGAATGACAATTTACAAACTGCCGCTAGAGTGCGTGACTTTCTCAGGACAGGAACTGTTAAGTCTCCTCGCCTGGATCCCCGTTCCTGCCTTTTAGGGCCTGAGAGTCTTAATTAGAAACACACAACCTGCCTAGACAATCAGAATTCAAGCAGAGCCATAGTGTTTCCTCATGCCCATGGAGTCCATGTCCCTGGCCTACATCCCTTCCCCAGGCTGTGCCCTCTCCCACAAACTGTCCAGTCTACTTTCCCTTCTGGTGTTTTTCTGGTATTCCATCCCTGGCCCTCAGGGGGAAGCTTAGCTACAATAAATGACTCATGTAGCAGGAGAACCCGACAGGACCGAATGCCTCTGCTTCATTTTCTCCCAGTGCACCCGAGTGGAATCACATAGATCCCAGGAAGAAGGAAGAGCTGGACAAGAAAGCCGAGGATGGAGAGTTCTGGTGAGAGGGGCTGTAGAGGTGGCTACAGAGCTGTCTTCTTAGCTGTGGGTCCCTTCCCAGTTCTGCCATGGACACAGCCATTCTCCTGGTCTTCTTTCATTCTTCTCCTTTGTGCTAGTATATAGTTCTACCTCTCTGCTGATATGTTGAAAGCACCAGCCGAGATGTCTGGGCCCTCAACATGGCTTAGCTATCTGCCTGTCTCCCTCTGTTTCTATCTTTCCAGTGAACTGAGGTCATTACTTCTATCTCTGTAAATCTAAGCTTCAACTTACAATCAAAGCAGAATAGCCTCCTTTGCTGGCAGGCTCAGGAAGGTAATAAGGATACCCCTTGAATAGAGTATGGCTTAGCAGACATGTCTGTGCTGGACATCACTAAGAATGAAATAGGGAGAAGACTTTTGTGGACTTAGGCTTAACCCACCCTAGTGGTAGGGCTTTGTGCAGATCACTCCCTGGGTCTCTTCCAGTTTCAGGCTCAGACTCTGCCTGGTTACATAGTTCCAGGATCAGACTCTGTTGGCTACATGTAATGAGGGGGGCTCTCTAAGAACCAAGAAGCTAACAGCGGTGGCAGGGAATTTGGATATTAGTCTCTGCAGATTTTTGTCAGCAGGCTGTAGGGTTTCAGCTGCCCATGCCACGAGGCTGATGCTAGCATGCTGTCCTGTGCCCAGTGGGCATGCCTTTAATCACCTCTCTTGACTAAGAGCCCTCTGGCTCCTCTGCCCCCAGGATGTCATTTTCAGATTTCTTGAGGCAGTTTTCTCGACTGGAGATCTGCAACCTGTCCCCAGACTCTCTGAGCAGTGAGGAAGTGCACAAGTGGAATCTGGTCCTGTTCAATGGCCACTGGACACGGGGCTCCACTGCTGGAGGCTGCCAGAACTACCCAGGTAAGGTGAAGAGCTGCCTGGGCCAGTCTCCTTGGGCTTGCCCTCCCTGAGCTAGGTGCCTCTGTATGTTGACCTTTGGTCAATGCCTTTGGGCTGACTTCTTTGGCTCCTGGGCCTGGGATGCTAGGGCAGCCAGGGTGAGCAGTGGCTCTGTAGCCACTCAGCTGAGGCCTGATCTCAGGTAACACTGTTCTTCAGCTTCTGTGCATTCCAACCATCCCTGCCTCACTCACCTGCCCCTGCCCCCAAAAGATGTGCTTCTTCACACTAACCATTCTCTTGGTGCCCAATGCTAAGACCTCCTTCTTATTTCTTGGGCTTTAGCTATTCTTACTGGATCCAGCTGGCTGACATCATCCCTCTAAGCTCTGGGACAGAGTGGCTCATGGCATACTAAAGGAAACATGGCTGTTGTCTGCTGTTTCAGTAGACCACATCCATCAGAGCAGCTGTTTGGTTTTGTTTGTGTTTGGTGGAGGTGGAGGGGTGAGACAGTGCAGGGCATGCGTGTGGCCACTCTCCACTCCCACGGAGTCACTAGGGCCCGATCCCTGGTGGGGATGGTCTGGTGTAAACTACTCCCCCTGCACTAACCCTGAGTGCTCATCTTATTAAAGGTGGGAGCCTTCTCCGGCTCACGGAAGATCACTAATATGTCACCCATAGGCTCCTCCTAGGTTGAATCACCTGAGGCAGCACCCAAAGAAGAAACTCCAGGAAACAACCCCTCATCTCTAAGGAGCAACAAAGGAAGGCAAAACTCACTCTCTCCTCTTTTCGCCTCCTCAGTCTTCACGCTCCCTACTTGGTTTGCTGTTGATGTGTTTGTTGATAGACTTAAACATTAAGCTCATGGGACAGGGTTAGTCGCTTTCTTCTCAAGATAGAGCCTATTGCGGTACTGCGCTCAGTGCTATGCACATGGTATTATAATAAAATCCCACAAAGCTATATGCCTGAGGCCTTGGCAGGGTCTCTTGGTCTCCCATGCATCCGAAAGAGTCCTTTTCTGACAGCAGAGACCAGAGTGCTTGTCAGCCAGCACAGAGAAGAGGCCACCTCCTCTCCTGTTGCTTAGCTCAACAACATAAATGCTCCTGGAAGGGGCATCTCCCTTTTCTAAGTTTCCTAATCTTGGAAATGGGGCAGTAATTCCCAATTTCCACCCGTTCAGGTTGCAGTGGGCATTGTAACATGGAAAGTGTAGGAATCGCTCTGTAAACCTTGTAGTATTATACAAATGGGATGTATTATTTTTATGGCCCATTCTCTTCTTCTGGTACTGTGAAGAAGTAAACAAAAAATGTAAGGTTACAGTAATGTTGCATTTGGGAGAAATTAAAATATGCTCACCATTAGCAAGCTCTTAGAAAATGCTTAGGAAATTTACATGGATCATTTAGGGAGCTCAGAACTGCAAGGGTATCTCTGGATGGACCAAATGAGTCCCATCTCTGCCACCAGCTGGTTGTTAGGAAGAGGTGAGTTGTCCTTGCCCTTTCGTAATGTTGTAAGTACAGGGGATTACAGAGTTTCCTCTTTCTCCTCTGGAATTTACACGGTTTTTGGCTTTAAAACTCATATACTAGTGCCCAATAAAAACTCTGGAAGTGAGAGCTTCTGAGAAAGGAGAATTGAATAACTCATCCTACTGTCAAGAAAAAATAATCAATGGCTTTTGGTCACCTGTGAGTGGCTTAATAGTTCATCAAGATAGATCCTTATCCCCTAAATATATCCCAGGATATCCCCTAAATAACGGTCTATCTTAATGAACAAAACATAACAAAACACCCTCATCCACTCCTTTCTTCCTACAGTGCACATCATTATTCAAAATTTTGAGGCCCCAGTGTGGCGATACCTATCAAATCTGTTTTCTTCAATTACGCTGTGCTGCTCAACTCTGTCATAGAATTGCTCGGTGCCTTCGGAACTCTTTTTGATCTCTCTATGCCTTGGTTTGCAGAGTCACTATTTTAAGAGATTTTAAAAAGTCATCTTTGAGGGACCAGCAGATGGTGTAGCAGTTATGTCACTGGACTCTGCAGTCAACCATGGTTTGAGTCCCTGACCCAGTGACATGAAAATTATTCCAGGCGTGTGTGTGTGTGTGTGTGTGTGTGTGTGTGTGTGTGTGTGTCTAAGATAGAG